CTTATAGGTTTGGTTTTCTTTTGTTTCCCCTAGGCAAAAAGGGCACAGGATTTCAAAGGCAGTCAGCTGGGGACAACAGAAGGGAGAGCAGCAGACCTTACCTTAGGCAAGCAATGGCCAAATACATTAGGAAAAAAAAAAAAGTACAGCCAATACTTCCTTGGACAGAAGTAGAGTTTTTTTTAAGTTGACAGTGCAACAGCAACACAAGCAATTTACTTTTAGACCATAATAACAATGTAAACAGGGCAACAAATTCACCATACTCACCTTATTGTATTAATACACAAAGAGAAAAAACACACCTTGACAAATCCTGGAATACCAAGAAATTGTAATCCATCCTTAGATTTGTCTCCTTTTGTCTAGTTAAAACAACAAACGAAATGCGAAGTAGTATGGCCCCCTAAGGCTGATAGTGTACCGAACAGCTCCCCCCCGCCCCCAAGCCATCTACCCCAGCTGCAGCAAGTGCTCCAGAACTGCCTCACTATTAATTTCCCCGTTCTGTATTACACAGAAACCCTTGTACCCACCACTGGAAATGCACCACAGTTATGCCACAGCACCTGCTCATTTCGGTTAACCCAGTGCCGAAAACTGTTCTGGGTTGTTTTATTGGGAATTGTTTTGGGGTGTGGTTGGTTGTTTCGGTTTTGCTTTTGGTTTTTTGTTTTGTTGGGTGGTTTTTTGGAGGAGGGGTGGGGGGGCAGGTGGAGGCATGTTGTTGGTTGGGTTTGGTTTTGTTTTTTTATTACAGGTGTAAACACATACCCTATGAGCACCACCAGAAGCAAAGGGCCTGCCACCGGGACTGCTCTTTCATAGCGCCTCAGGACACTGGAGCTCTTTCCACAGTGTTCTTCAGCTAAAAAGAATTTTCTTTATTAGTGAACAGCAAGTGTTTTCATATTTCCATGTTGTCCTCTAACATTGAACAGTATTCACATGCTGCCACAGCAGCTTCTTTTTGTCTGCAACTACAGATATAATCCAGAGCCAGAAATACTGTAGAATGAGACCCCATCACACACTCCCATTGCACATGGCAGCCTGATGTACCTTAGATTTTTTTCAGCAGATGCCCAGAGAAATACCCATGATTAGGAGTTCAGTTGTATCAGTTTCTCCCCAGTCTTATAATTCTTTTCCACTTTGGAAGCTTAGCTGAGGTTGTTTTCTGTTTTTTCTTGTTTGTGTTTGGTTGGGGTTTTGTTTTTTTGTTTGTTTGTTTTTGGGTGGGTGGGGGGGTGTTAAGTTGCACCAGTGAGGAATACTGACAAAGTTATATACACATTTTGTACCATCCCTAAAAACACTGTCCTCTTCTGCAGCCCCAAAGAAAAAGCTGATAAGCTGTTCATTACCTCGTTTAATAGATCAAATATATTTCTCAAGCTCCTAACCACTTGTGAGCAAGTAAACATCGGAATTTATGGAAATTACACCTACAAACGTTATTCTCCTTTTAAGTCATCTGTTTGTCACTTTGCCAGAAGCATGCAACTCATTTCACCACGTTCATTGAGTCAGAGGCTTATCAATGCATTAGGTTCTTTCCACCCTTGAGACACAGACAAAAGAACAATCAAGGGTCTCTATTCTCCGTAAGGAGAGCATTTTTTTTTTTCCCCTCCAAATTCATGACAGCTGTTAAGTGGACTAAAATCTGATGCTTTTCAGTAGTCCATTTCCCTTGCTCAAGCAGAAAGTTTGTATTTCCATTCACTATCACTGAGCCAACAACCATTCATTATGAATTTTTGTATCATCTTATTTGAAATTCAAGCCACGGATCTTTCCCTTTACATCAAATAGTGTCAGAGCAAACTCAACAGCCCCAAAATACAAGCAGCTGAGCAGAGGGAAAACAGGGGTGGCAAAACTGCCAAATATAATCACAGGACACCAGTGACGCCTAGGGGCTACTGAGGAGGGATGAACTCTGACAAACACTGTTCCCAGCAGTTCAGCGGTGTAAAGCAAGCCATTAAATTTGAGGGCTGACAGAAGGCACATCACCAACGAGGAGTACATGAATACCTGAAGCCACATTTAACTCGTACTCTTATTACATTTATAACTGCAAAAAATTACCAGAAGCAGAAATAACTGGGAAACATTACCTGTTAATTTATTGCATCACCAGCGCTTGAGTTCTCCCAATGTTATACATCAATTATCAACACTTACATCCAAATGCTGGCACAATACCTTCTCTACTGTGTTGCACAGATACCCTGTATATGTGCATGACACCCAGATCTGTAGTTCTGTAAACTACTTCATCAATACATCTCTCCTCTGCATATCTAGCTAAGCAAGGAACCAAGGTGCTATTAGGACAAAAGTGTTTTCAGACATCACATACACAGAACTGCTCATGTATTTAGGGTCAAGTCAGAAGACTTCAAAGGGACTTGAATGGTGTGTTGAACAACCAAATGCTTTGAAATGCATGTCTCAGCAACAGAGTGCACAACACTTCAATTCTACCCCTGGTGTGAAGGCAATTCGCCTGTGTGGTGAACTGTTTTGTGGTACAAGAACACCTCGATTTTGCAGCTCACAGAAATATCTGGGTTCCTCGTGACCAAACTAGGGTTTGCACTATCTTGTTCTGGTTTAAAAAAAAACCAAACCACAAACCACAAAGCTCTCATGGAAAAAAAGACCTAATGAGGGTCTCGTAACTTGAGTACCTTCTAAACTGGAGGGGTGGTCCAAAGCAGCATCCCACACCCACTAAACTGCATCCCTGCTCAAAGAGGGAAAATAGAAACCTTCAAGCCTCCCCACTTTCTCCACTCAGAGTAAAAAAACAAGAACATCACCAGGAAAGTACTCTAGCTTGACGAGTTTCAGCAATCTTCAGAAAACATGACACTTCACACCATGACAGAACACCAATGATCACTGTATAAAAAAAATTCAAGAGGCATAACTGGAATTCTCTACCTCTAAGCTATCAGCATAAAACCCCAGAGTGCTGCAGGAGAAAAGGTATCCATAGCTGACATTAAACAAAGCAGAAAGGACAATGTGTCTTCTAGTGGTTTTGAACAACAAACACAGAGAACCCAGCTGCATATACTCTTCCAGGTAGTAAATTTGTACGTTTTCAGAACAACTAGTCAGTTGTATAAAGATTCAGTCTTCCATTTGGCCACTAAGTTTACAGGTCAGACAAGATTGCAACAATTTTACTTCAGGACAGCGCCCCACAACTAACTTCATAGCTTGCAAGTTCTTCAGTTTGAAATATCAGTTCGCATACTGTCAGTTATGCATACATTTTTTGCTTCTTACATGGAGTAGAAGGCTCAAGGAACAAAAAGGCAACTAAAAATATATCTGTTTTATTTACCAGTTTTCTAAAAAGCAAAGTCATAAAAATTAGTCACAAGTGGCAAAACCAAAATATATTGCACAGTGTACAGAAAACATTGTTGACATGTTGACAAAGTGTCATCACAAATAAGTCATCTTACAACAGTTTGGAAAAATTACAGCTTCAGAATCTTATCTATAAATGGAGGCATGTAGATTTAAAGTTACAGGAAAATATTTTAATACCACCCTGTAAATGCAAACACTTTAAGGATGCAAGATTAAGTCCATAAGTAAGCACATCCACAAAATGCTCTAAATATACTTTTCTCTTCCTTTCACTAAGTTACAGTTACAAGATGGTCACTGAAAAAAAATAATAATAATAAAAAACCAAAAACAAACAAAAAAGCATGCTAAAGCAAAGAAGTTCAAAGTGGTTGAGAAGTCCCTGAAAATAATTTGTATAATTATGATGCACTCCTTTTATATAAAGCTTTTATTTTTCCCAAACCCTGGTCCAATTGAAACTATTTGTGTTTACAAGTAAAAATGGAATATATTTAATACGTTGGTATAGCTGCACTGCTCCATTTATGATTAAAACATTTAAAACATCGGACTTGAACACCAACATTTGAAAATTTTTTCATTCAGTTTATATTTACATATATTTAAGTTTGACCTGCTAAGCTATTAAAGACAGGAATCAGATCTCTTACTGAGTAGTGCTTCACGCTACATTTAAGATACTTATTTTTCAAATTGTGATTCAACTTGATTCACAAGTTCACACACACTGCTATCTGCAGAACCCGTCTCCAATGCGAATTTCCTCATGACGCTGTCCAATTAATACCTAATTACTTTACACAAATTATTTCTTCCACTAAGCAAATACCAGTCACTTTTGCATGGTTTTGGTAATGTCAGATCTAACTTCACATCCTCTTTGCATGCAAAGAGAAATATTTTTATAGAATGAAAATAACCTTACGTTTCAGTGAATAGAAATGTTACCCTAATTAAAAAAGAAACGCTTCCATGAAAAATATTTTAAGACAAACACATCAAAGTTAATTGAATTTCTCCATGTTTTTCACCCCAAGACCTACAACTGACATCTAGCAATACTGCAATTAAATGTCCTTTAACTAATCAATATATTAAAGTTGCTCTTCTGTGTTCTCTTCCCACATCCAACATGTATAAACAGCACAAAAACATAAAGTACACATATTCAAGTCAATACAATCTCAGAGGCATTAAAGTGAAATCCTTTACAGCAAAGGATTCCAGCCACACTAAGGTTTTGATTATGCAATTCAAATAGAGTAAAAGTCAGCACTATACTCAAATTCACTGCTTTTTTTTTTTTTTATAAGACCTATCTTCAAATGACAAGAAATGTGTAATCCTCTTTTCCCACGTCCAAGTTTGAGATTTCTTTAGCCACATAGGAAAAACTGATGGCTGACCTCCTGACAGAACAAACCAGAAATAAAAGTTAAAGTTTTATCAAGCTTTGTCTAACGGTCACCGGAGCATACACAGTCATCCTCTGTGGTCTTAGTTTTTAAAATCTTTAAGCGTAAAGATTTCTTGTGTATAAATTCTCAGAAATGATGCTTCAAGGTAATAAACAGTTCATAGTATTGCAGCATCCGTTTAAATAAAAGGCTACAGAGTTGTCAGCGCTCATCTATACTTTCTTACACATTCACATAAGTATTTTAACCCAAGACAATCTTACAAAATTAGTTCAACATTTCTCTTAGACAAAAGAGGTTCCTACATTCAAAACTATAGGAAACAAAGAGGATGGGATCAACTGGTATGAGAAGGGCAAGTGTGAACTGATTTGCTTGAAGGTTATTTCTTCTACTATGCCGGACCACTTCAAATATTAAGAACAATGCTAAAGAGCCACTAAGCAAAATTGCTAGAACAATTTATAATGCTGAATCATTACCAAAGGAGATTTGAAGAACCGTATGTATGTAAGGGGATTTTCAGTACTCATTAACCAGCTCTACAAAATACAGTAGGCATCAATGAAAGTTTCTATAGTGTATAAACAAATACTTGAGGCATATAAGTGCAAAATAATGAGTCTTTCTTTTTTAAAGAAAAGCTATACCATCTTCAACAATGTCCTTACTGGGAAGAGATTGCCACCATTTAAAAAGAGATTCATTCACAAATGACTCTTCTCAAGCAAGAAAAACACATTTGTTTTTATGAACCAGATTCATCTTGCTAGATACAAGATTAAAACCTTTATGGATCATCACTGTAGTTTTGAAGCAGCTTTGAAGACAACATGCTCAAAGGCTATGTTTGTCCTTCACTGACTTGACTCAGGGAAACCAAGTTATTTTCCCCACTGTCTTCAATCATTTCATTAAGGTCCATTTCATGGATTTCTTCATCATACGATGTGTAAAAATTGCTCTGTATATTGTCCTCACAAAAAATACATTCCTAAAAACAAAAAAGAGAATTACAGAAACACTCATAAGTCAAAGAAAAAAAGCTTTTCCAAAACAGTCCATTTGCATACAACCCCTGATTCCAAGGAAACCTTTCCGTCTGTGCTGCAACTACCAGATATATTCCACTCCCCAACACAATCATTTTATATCTTGCAGTGAATCAATACAGGTACTTGAGAACTCTACTGGAAGCAGTTATGTCACAGAGCATTTATAATGCTGACATTTTACATGCACTACCAGTCACCTTTTCCTCCATTTGACTGCTAACCCTGCGGTAATAAGTTCATGTCAGCTGCAGTGCTTAAAAGACTGAAGCAACTGTGTGCTTACACAAGTCCCATACTATATGATTAACATTGCAGTAAAATTAACACCCGGATTAGTATTCCACTGCAATTCTGTTACACTGACTTGAAATACTCATGTGCAAGGAGAGCCTCTGCGCTTGATAACTTATGTGCAAAAAAAGCTACAAATTATGGAAACCTTAGGGAAAAGAGAATACAATCGGGTATTTGTGTGTGAATAAGTAAAATACACAGACAACAAATAATACTACAAGGATGCTTTGGTTTGCTCTGTGGTTTGTTTGTTGTTGTTTTTCTTTTTTGCTTTTCAAGCCATTGATCCACTTGGAGAATCAAGGCAAGAGAATTCTGCACAAGAACTGACAAAAAAAAAAAAGGAAGAATGTACTCCCCATTAATTTTGTACTTTCCAGTAAGCAATGGGCATAAGTTTCTGCACGTAAAATAGAGATTTTTATGTAGTGAAGTTTCTGGCTTTGTTGATAAAAGAGATAGACAGAAAATTAGAAATAAAGAAATTTCTTATACTGTATTCACCACTACTTTGACTTTCCCATTGGAAAGGAGACTTATGGTAAATTAAATCAAGCCAGAAACCACTGCATGGAAGTTTGAAATAATTTTTTTCTCTATGTAATTGACCAAGCTTTTATAGCAACAGGAATGGAAGAGTCTAACATAGGCAGCTAATAATTTAAGCACTGTTAGGCATGCTAAAGTAACCAACTCATTTAAACTTACAGAATTAGCAACAGTTTTTGGCAGTCCACCTTGCTGGATCCATGGATGAACTTCAATAAGCTCTCTTTTTTGTTCTTCTGTAAATTTTGGCTGTAGTTTCTGCATTTGCTTTAATTTCTGCTTATCTTCTTTTAAAACCGTTTCCAAATCTCTAAAATAAAATGTATTTAGAAATTGAGCTTCAGCGGTTCCTGGGCTTTATGCCTATATAAGGTTACACTGTCAAATACTAACATTTTTAAAGACTATTTTTGTTCTGGAATGCTAAGCTTACAAATCTTATATTGGAAGAAAATTAAATGTGGTTATTTCAGCAGCTTTCTGCATTTGCAGACAACTTTAACACATCTCTGCTGGCTCACTGTCTCTTCAAATCACATCAGTGAAAACAGTTTTCTTAGAGGTATTCAGACAGCACCACTGGTGAAACCACTAAGAACCCCAGTTTCCCTCTGCTGCTGCTGCAGTAAGTTCCAAGTTCCCCTTCACCGGGAGGACAACCCAAAACAGATACTAGATGCACATGAGATACTAAAGCAGAAGATATGTTAAAGAGGTCATCGAGAATGGATTGAACTTCAGGACTGAGGAGAGATTTAGAAAACGCTGCTCTATTTCATCAGCCAAAGTTCTCTCTCCTTGCACAATACCTCATCTTGATTCAGAAACTTAAAAAAACCCACCCCACACCATACCAAACATTTACAAGTTCTATACCACTATAAAAGATGACAATAGAAAGCAAGTTCCAAGAAAACCAGCACTGTTTCTGTTCCTTACAGCATACCTAAGAACAGGTTGGCTTTACATTTCTCCTCTTGGGCAACACGCTCTGACAGTGAGCTTAACTCTTCCTATCACAATATCCTGTTTAAGATCTACTATGTTCTCTTTGGCAGGCTTTGCTACTCTTACAGTCTACTGGAATTCCCATGTATAGTTGTCAACACTTCAGGCTACAAAAACTGAGAAATGCCAAGGTATTTTTAAATCTAGGGGAAAATTCTGAAGTTCTTATGATCTGTTCTCTATTTTTTCCCCCTCCATCCCTGTGCTTCTGCATTCTGAAAGCTTGTTTTCCTTCCCTTTCAAAAGGCTTGTCTTTACCAAAACTTCCCATTCCTTTCAAAATACCATTCACTGCTCCCAAGAAATATAAACAAGAAGATTAAAAAAAATCTGCAGACTTGTCATACCCTCTCCCCCTACATCTGCTCTTCGCTACTGAAGCAGGAAATTTTTTTAAACTATTTTTTTAAATGAAGTTTTTTCCTATTAGAAACTTTATAATTTTTACCTTACACTTCCTCGTCTTACTTGAATGGGAATTTATGGAGAAGAAAGACGATGTGGAAGTTAAACCAGGCAAAAAAAAAAAAACCATAAGGCAGAGAATGCAGCATACCATTGAATGTGGGATCTCAAGGACAACTGCCAGGGAGTACAGATTTTCCATGCTACAGACCATCATCAGATCTAAGCATGCTTGCCAGGATCTATTAATCAGACTACAGGATTTCTAGGCAAGTAGTTACAAATCACTAACTATAAAATAGCTTCAAAAAAATATAGTTAATTTCAACTCAGTTAACTGATCTAAAAATACAGGTAAGCATAATCAAATAGTTTTTACTTTTTGAGAGCTTCTTGTGTAGTATACAAAAAGCATAAAGGAAGCAAGAACTCTTCTTGACACTGAGGTAAACATTAAAACCAGTTTACTTCTATGCAGACAGAGATTTTTATTTATATATATATATACACACACCCCCCCCTCCCTTTCCTTCTGCACACCCCTCTCCCCCCAACATACATACAGTTCATGAAGGATTACGACATCAGAATTACCTTGAAGGTATCTGGTAAGTCATCATAACAGTGTCATCTGTGTTTGCCATCAAAAGCCATATAGGATCCTGAAGGACATATTTAATGAAGTGCTCACTTTCTTCTATTTCTGCCTTCATTTTGGTTTTATGATGATTTTCTGAAGAATCAATACTCCCGAAGTATTTGCTAGTATGACTAGTTTCACTACTACCTTTAAAAAGAAATTTAAAGTTTCATTATAAATTGTCAAATGCATAGATTAACTGAATGCTTTTGAAAATAGAGAAGACTAAAGAGAATCAAAAGTATAAGCACAACCACTATTTTATTTCATTTTTTTTAGACAGAGGGAACTTCCACCCCTAAGTTACTGCATCAATATTTTAAAAACTGAAATTCTCAAGCTAAATCTCCATTAAATTTCAACAGAATAATTATTACCTAAATTAAAAACTCTGAAATGAAACTGCAGGAACATGGTATTTTCTTTTCTGTATTCTATCATACCTACATAATCTTAATGGCTATTTTACACACACATAAAAGAGGTTCTATACTGTAAATCAAGCACAATAGAAAAACTTTCATGTTATCTAATAAAAAAAGAAATCAAGAATAAACTAAGCAATGAGGATTAAAGACAACAAAGTTTTTTTTACATAAAGCACTTGATGTTCAAGTGGTGTTTGCAATACTTCACTCTCCAACTCTTCTAAAATGCTGAGAGTACTCACTGCCAGTGTTACCTGTTCTGCTCCCAGACATGCCGCAGCCATTGGATCCAGACCCCAGAGACTCAGCAGCTGCAGATACACCACTCCCTGAAGAAGCTGAACCAGTGCCTGAACATGCGTCTTCTTGAAGTAAAATGTCAAGCAGGACACTAGACATGGAGAGTGCATCGCTATTTTGAGCATCCATTGGAGATTCAGCCTAGCGATAAGAAGAGGAGGGAAAAAATAAAATGAAAAGAAAATAAATCAAACCCAAAGCCCAAAACGAAGGCTATTTCATTATTAACAATTTACATTTAGCATTAATCCATTTCACTTTATATTCTAATATGTTTACACAGTTATTCAAAGACAGACAACTACCAATAACATATGCAAAGACCAAGTGAGGAATAATGAAGTGGAGTGATAGACAAGTGGTACATCAGTAAGACTGGTATTTCAATTCAATTTCTCTTTCAAAAAAATAAAAATGGTTTAGTGAGGAAGTAAGGCATTTGCTTTTCAGTTTTGACAGCCCCTACCATCTTCGACAAGTCAGAATTTACCCAAGCCACCTAAGGCATACTGTTCCTACTCTCAATGCATGATGAGAAAGAAGGTGTTCCCAGATGCAAGCTTTTTAAGCAAGATAATTTATTTGTATGCCTTTAAGGGAAAGAACATTAACTACACTGATTTCTAACATAAGCAAAACCTCACTGCAAGTCAGTTTGAAGATTAAATATTAGAAATTATGGTTGATAGAACCTAGCAA